CAGGCTGGTCCCACCCCAGGCTCCTCATGTTGCACGCTCAGCCAGGCCGCCCTGCCCCAGGCCCCTCCCTTGCATGCTCAGCCAGGTGGCCCCATACACACTTAGCCAGGCCACCCCGCCCCAGGCCCCTCCATTGCACGCTCAGCCAGTTGGCCCCACCCCAGGCTCCTCCCTTGCACGCTCAGCCAGGCCAGTCCTGCCCCAGGCTCCTCCCTTGCACACTCAGCCAGGCCAGTCCCGCCCCAGGCCCCTCACCTTGCACGCTCAGCCGGGCTGTGCTCACCAGGCCCTCAGCACGGGCTGTCACGGTGCCTGCGTCTCCCAGCTGGCACTGCCGGATGGTCAGGGCGTGGCACAGCCCGTTCCTGGTCACCACCAGCCGCTCGCAGGTGGTGACAGCCTGGCCGTTCAGCTGCCACGTCAGGGCCACGTCATCCGGGGACACCAGGCACTTGAAGGTGGCGTCGTCCCCTTCCAGCACCGTCAAGTTGTGCAGCTCCGAGATGATCTCCACCACCCTGGGCACTGGGGCCAGAGCGGGTGAGGGGGGGGCTCCCATTGGGCCTCCGCGCCCGTCTCCCCCTGCATCCCGCTCGCCCCCTCCCCTGCACCCTGCTCACTCACCTCTCCCCACTCACTCACCTCCCCCTGCTCACACCCCATCACCGCACCCTGCTCGCCCCCTCTCCCCTGCACCCTGCTCGCCCCCCTCCCCTACACCCTGCTCAGAGCAGCTGGGTGAAGAGCACCCCAGGCAAGATGCTGGTGCTGGGAGGAGCTCATGCCCCCCTCCCCCGGCACATGGCACCCACCTGGGATTGGTACGTCCCTCCCTGGACCCAGAAAGCCACGGCCACAAAATCCCACCTACCCCGGCCGATGCGACTGGGCTGTCAATGCACCCACCCCCACGAGGCAGAGCCCCCCATGGGGACCCGCCTGCGTGACGTCAGCTCAGGGATTGCAGCGCACTCTGTTGGGGGTCAGGCCACTGGGCTCGGCCAGGTCTTGGGAGGGGGGTTGGGTCACAGAGGCTGGGTCTGTGGGGGAGTGGGAAGGTCCCTGGAGCTGCGCTGGTCTAGAGGGATCAGGGCCCCAGTGCCTGGGCTGAGCCCCAAGGGCTGGGTTGGGTCTCAGGGGATCAGGTCCCTGGAGCTGGGCTGGACTGGGAGGTCAGGGTCCCGGGGCTGAGGGTTGGGCCCCAGGGGCCGTGGATCAGGGCCCCGGGGCTGAGGGTTGGGCTGGGGGGGTCAGGGCCCCGG